ACAGACGCACAGACACACACACACACACAGACAACCTCTCGTCAATATGCGTTTTTTGCATTGCATCGCTGCAAAAAACGCATAATAAAATGGACAAAATAAGCGTAATAACTCGCGAATAGGATAAATACGTACATAAAGCATGCGAAACCCGTTACCTGCGTTCTTCTTAACAACCCTCGGAAGAAAGAGCCAATGTCAGCAGATGGCTTTTGCTGAGATGTGCTACCATTCGGGCTACTTTCGAAGGTCTCCGTCTTTTACAGGTGGTGGAAACGGAAGGAATTTTAATTTCAGAAGAGACTGAACACAGAAGGGAAGGATTTTGACTTCTTGACAGGATACACATGAATCATTCTGCCTTTTTCCTCAATATAAAGACCTTTCTAACCAAAAAACGGTTTCATGGAAAAATTCGCAGGCAAAAACTGATCCAGAATTTTAAGTAATTAATTAAAACCGCTAAGTTCCCATAGTGAAGGAAAGGAACGTCGCCATTAGATCCTAATTTTTACAAACTAAAATGAGAGTTAAAGATCTGTTACAGGGATTTAAATGAATGCTGTAAGTACAAATTACCAGTTTAAGAAAGTCATAAATTTCTTCCTCGTTGGTTGCAAGGCCTTCTGGACGAAATATGCTAGGACTGGTGAGTGCCCTCCTTGCTAACATCACACTGCTGGCGCCACTCTGTTCCCGAAACTTCGCAATATCAGCATATTCTTTAACCGTACTCGACGATCCACTGAAAATTCAGAGTCAGATTTGAATATGTTCTTCCTAGAAAAATAGTCAAAAAATGTTAAACAGATACTAGAAGACACCGATGAGATGGAAGGATTCAAGCTTAAGTTTATGCAGGAGCTGCCAGCTGTATCTAAGACGGGAAGGAACATAACGGCTAAAACCACAGCAATTTACTCGCAAACACACTGCTAGTGCTCATGACACGGATCGAAAGAGTAATGCCACTATCTGCCTACTTCCTGTAACATTTTGTCGGAATTCCTATTTTTCGTTTTTCTACCCCTAAACCTGACCAAAAACCGCCTGAACCCTCATCTTCGAGGGCCCCTACCAGCTCAACCCCTTTGATAGATTGAGCTACTGAGAAGCCCCGACGTAAGGGTCCCAGTGTATCTCGGCCTAATTCAAATTCATACCATCAAAACAAATATTTTTATGTAACAAAAATACAAATGAAAGTGGGAAAAGTGTAAAGGTAACAAAAACGAAAATTTGAATGAGGAAGCAATTCGAAACAAAAATTCAATTGGTAAAAAACGGAGACAAAATGACAACCTCGTATGTTAACAGATTTCACTAGAGGAAAAAAAAAAAGGAAAAACTAACTTCGCAATAATAGGAAGAGAAACTGCCCGAGCAATTTCACGGATTTCATCCACACGATTTGCATCACCCTGTCGTTCATCTCTTCGCCGCCCATGTATTCCGATCGCCGAAATCCCACATCTTTCAAGCATTTTCACAAATTCAAGTGTATCTTCTCGCTGAAACAAAGTTTTCTGTATCGAGTCTTACAAAATAAAACTACGGAAATTTCACAAATTATGTGAAAAAGGTCTTGTTTTTCTTTTTTTTTTATTTCTGATGCTTTAATCAGTTCTTGTTTCGCGTGTTTGCTACTTTAATACCGGTAATTGAGTATCTATCATTATTGAGAATGCGAAAATGCAAAATTCCACCAAATTCCACTGCTGCACGATAAATAATACTTATTACAAATAATTTAATCTTCCAATGGTTATAAGTATATTTCATATTTGTTATGGTATTTCGCATAAACAACAGGCCAAAAATTTGTTATAGAATTCAGATCCGGACAGCTAATCATGATTTGGGAATGAGAAACAATTCGACAAAGTCGAGGTAGGGCGGGCTGCAAACCCTGACAACTCCAAGCATGTTCAGAAAACACCTTGCCGCGTTTTTTCCAGCTAAGCTTGGATGGTACGAACCAAAGGCATTCTGACCAGTAACAGGTTATGCAACCACAAGTCAAGCAGCCGTGCCCGCAAGCAAAATATATGTGATTATTTATATATGCTTCATTTTCAATCTTCTTGATACAACTCATACGCCTTTGTTGCAATCCTCTGATTTCGCTGTATATCAAAAATTCGATGTAACAGATATGTATAA